GCATTTTTTAAAAAGAAATCAGACGTCGGAAGAACATTGCTAATAATAAACAACAAAAAAAAATTTTTTATTTTTCCGAGATTTTTCCAAGGGGTACCCCTTCAATTTCTTCCAAATTTTCGTTCTTGGCCAATAACTCCCAAACCGTTGGACATACGGAAAAATTGCATAGGACCTTTCTTGTAGAGGACGACGAGATCTACAATTTTCATGTAAAAATTCTTCGCTAGCATCAATATTTAACGAGTTATTAACGAAAAACGAGAAAACAGTTTTTTGCAAATTACTCGTAAACTATGGAAGCTAGCGAAAATTTTTTACATGGAAATTATAGATCTCGTCGTCCTCTACAAGAAAGGTCTGATGCAATTTTCTCGTAAATCTAACAGTTTAGGAGTTATTGAGGAAAAACGAAATTTTTTGTCAAAAGTTCGCTGATTCGACGGTGGAATGGTCGGATTTTGTCAACATCAACAAAATGCCAAATAATCATACGTAACTCGTTAAATATCGAAGTTAGAAGGAAAACAACTTTTATCTGAAGCATTTTTCGAGATTTTTCAAGGGGTTTTCTAAAATACATAAACTTTTTGGATTGACTGTATAGCCAATACATCCTTAAACAGAGCACCTTGTACAATAGATTATTGATTATACTATACAATAGTTGACCTAGGATTTGCTATTTAGTTTAACTGATGATCGTACGAGACAATCAGTCTTAATAAGAAAACCAAATCCCGGACCACCTTGTATAAGCATCTATTGTAAACCGTTAAAACCCACAATAGAATCGTTATCCTTAAGCCTATCGCGGGCTAAAACAAGACAAATTGTACAATTTATTCTGCCAGGTATCAAACGACAGCGAACGGTATGCGTGTATGTATCCACCTATCGCAAAACTTGCGTAGGTGTATGCAGCGCATCGCGCGCTGTGCCGAGCGAAGATATTTCAATAGCGCAACCCAACAACGACGAGCGCAGGTACACATACGTGCAGAGAACACGTCGTCGTGTTGCCCACAGGCTTCGTTTGCCCCGGCACAGAAACCTTTCTCTCTCATCTCACCAGGAGCATCTATAATCCATAGCGCACCGTATACTCCCTCCGTTTCTGTGTTTTATTCACGCCGAGTGCGTTAATTGATGCAACACCGCGCAATGCCACAATGACGCTCAATTTTCATTTTTACAATTCCGTTTCATAATTGCCAGACCGTGGATTTAGTGCGTTCATAAGAATGTGCAGTCCGCGGAAATCATAAATGCAGTATGCAATGTATATTCAGGACGTCACAAGCTGAGCATGTTCTTCACTGTTTAAATGATAAGAGAATTGTTTCATTATAAATGTTTCATTTCTGGTTATAATACGTGTAGCGTAATTATAGAAAATCTGATGAGACCAGCAGATTTTCATCGGAGGTTTCTATAATTTGTTTTGAAAATGTTGTAGCTGCTTAATTGCGGCGGAAACGTGAATATTTAACGAAGACGAGGCGTGAACATAGAACGTAGCACAAAAATGAGGAGGACCGTGACACGTACCTATCAAACGGGCCTGTGAAATTAGATTATATGGCTGAAACTGGTCTCATTAGCATCATTAACTCCGCGCGCCGTTGATCATTTAGCCGCATTATTCCGGTACCGCGCCACGCCGCGCCGCATTAATTAAGCATATTCACGAATTTATTAGTTTTACTGGGTCGCGGCGTATGAACAATAAGCGTATCTTTTCGTATCTGCCGACGTCTGCACATAACTGAACCGGCCAAGTTCATTAGAAAATCGCAGTTTCTCTCCATTCATCGGATAACTCCTACGAACAAATTGTAACAATTGCTCATTTTTTTTTTTAATCTCGTGATCTCATCAACCTGGCAGATCTTTAAAATAATAATTGTCACGCGCATGGAAATTGCTTCGTTAATACGCGATGCGTCGCGGGATACGTCGACGCAGGCAAGCTCCAGAGTAATTAGACGTTTGTTAATTAATTTCAACGTAGTAAATCTTTCGACGCGAGATATAATCAAAGTCAGACGCAATATATTGTAATAACGCGCTATACTCTAACTGTAAAACAAATGAATATCTCGGCCCGCGGTAATTAAACGTCCTGTGTTAATACAAGGGAAAGGATTTCATCTGATGGAAGGGATCAGTTTCAAACGGAGGTTGCCTTTATTACCGTTCTCACGGTCCGTAAAAACTTTCGGTACTCGCCTCGACAAAATAATTGATTTGCGCTGTTTCGTGGTGTTGCGCAACGATAAGAGAGCATGATTTGATTACTTATGGATAATCGGACGTGCAGCGTGGACCGTGGCGTTTTAAAATCGATTCGAACAACTTTCACTCGTCTCATCGGTGAAACTTTTATTTAAAAAATCATTGATTTTCGTTAACTGAATCCGACTTCTTTCTCTGATTTCCATTTCAATATAATCGAATATAAACTCTGATATGAATGTATATACAGGGTGGATTAATAAAAAAATATTAGATGCAATAAGTTGACGTTTTTATCGAAACATGCTGTGATGGAGATCCTTAAATGAATATGTCCTTGTAATTTGGTGAATTAAAATGTTTTTCTTCCAGGCTTATAAAGAAACAAATGACTTAGTGGACAATTCCAAATGATATTTCTTATTGACTCACACTTAGTACTATAGTTTTATAAGCTTTTTATAGTTTAATTATATATTTAATATAAGCATTGATCAGACGCGTGACTCACTGCTTTTGTCTGAAGTCCAAAGAAATAATTACTGAGCATTGCATATAATTTTGAGGAAGGGATAACAGTAACTTTAGAGAGTACTTGACACAATAACGTGACAGAAATCGGTGCGACGTGTCGTGTTTTATGTCTTTTAAATCGGCCCACGGTCTTACCGTTTTTCCCTGCCTTTTTAAACCTTGTATTTAAAAAGATCGTGGGGAACGTGCTGCGTCTAATAACGGTGACTACTTTACTGTTGTGGAAATCCAGTGACCATGAAGAGGCAACGAGAGAACAGCATGTGCATCGATATTCAATTTAAACATTGTATTAAAATCGTCGACATTGGATTTCGTTGCGGACGATTGGACAATACTCCGATAAGTTGTGCTGGCATCACGNTTTAAAAATTCTCAGTCTGCTCGTTAGTATTCAATACTCTATAAGTGCTGTTCATCAGTCGAGAGTTCTAAACTTTTCGAGGGCAGCACTTTGATAAGTAAGAATTTGGAGGTGCATGATGATCTGTCAATAGATTTAGCCAGTTGTAAACCTAAATTTTGATGATTGTGGGCTAGTAATTTCGAGGAAGAATCACTTGTGTAATAAATTGGTCAGAATCTTGACGAAGAAGTTAACTACTCGTACAGGAGCCAACTCGAGCGTGCACCCATGCACGCTTCGTTTCGCTGAAATAATAACGAAGAGATGTTTCGAGCCCCGTCATGGCGTAACCGACAATTCCGTTGCTCCTTTTCCCTCGTATCTTTACCGAAAATTATGAAAACCGTGTGCCAGTAACGTTGATGGCGTCTTCTCCGGTCTGTGCTCCCATAGATAAAGTTTTAATTTAATTACGAACGGTACCCTCGACACGTTTGCATACGTTTAGGTAACAACAAAACGTATTGCGATAAATAGAGTGTGCATTTGCGTTTATAAGAGGAATTAAAATCATGGAAGATATAGGACGTTCGCAGTATACGTATATATGTATAAAAGGAATGGCGGAGAATGTAATTGAATTCGAAAAGGTATTACGTAAACGCGTTAGATATCGTGCGGCTTAATCAGATGTAGAATTGGAGCTGAAACGTTTCCAGTATTACGTAGGAATTATCTAAAAGCAACAAGTCATTATATAAAATAATAGTGATTGAACGTTCAATAAGCGTTCTATATCGTGGATGATCTAATTA